CCGGAGGGTGAGTGTCCCCTGGGGTGGCAGGGGTCCGGAGGGTGAGTGTCCCCGGGGGGGCGGGGGTCCGGAGGGTGAGTGTCCCCGGGGGGGCAGGGGTCCCGCCCGGGGAGGATGAGGCGAAGCGTCGCGTAACGGCGGTGCCTGTTCTTCTTCAGGAGGATGCTTCCCCGGACGGGAAGGGAAGTACCAGTTCTGCGGTTCAAGGTGTGTAGGTGTTTTCTGGGTGTTACTGATCGCGTTGTGTCTGGTTTGCGCTGTCACGGTGGTTTGCTTAGAACCATAGAATGGTGCAGGTTGGGAGGGACCTTTCAGATCACGGAGTCCAACCATCAACCCAACCCTGCCCAAACCCCACTGACCCATGGCCCTCAGCACCACGTCTGCCCGGCTTTTAAATCCCTCCAGGGATGGCGACTCCCCCCCTGCCCTGGGCAGCCTCTTCCAGTGTCTGACAACCCGTTGGGTGAAGAAATTTCTCCCAATATCCATCCTAAACCTCCCCTGGTGCAACTTGGGGCTGTTTCCTGTTGTCCCATCGCCTGTTCCTTGGGAGAAGAGACCGACCCCCCCTGGCTACACCCTCCTTTCAGGGAGCTGTAGAGAGTGAGAAGGTCTCCCCTCAGCCTCCTTCTGTCCAGGCTACTTGCTGGGATCAAAGTGTTCTGGAAAGCTAGAACAAGCCCTGTGGCATGATGGATGACTTGTCAGGGACCAAGCACGAAGGGAGAAGGAAAATTATGGGATAATATTTATTTGCTTACAGAAAGATGGGTCAAAGAGCAGGAAATAGGTTAAGAAACTGGGTGAGATAAAAAGCTGTCGTTGTTTTCTTTATTCAATGGGATGTTCTGAGTTGAAAAGCCCTTTGCTCTTCACATCCGTCCTATTCAGGTGCCTCTCCTACCCCTTCACCACCCGCTGTTTCCCAGGAGGTTCCGTCGGGCGGCAGCGTGCGGAGCTGGTCCGACTACCTCCATGTGCGCCTGCACCCCAAGAGCCTCTATGTCATCCCTCAGTACATGCACGATGGGTATGGCCTGGAGCTTTGCTTCAGAATCCGTTCTCCAGAACAGGATCTTAGTTTTGCCTTCAAGGAAGAATTAAGAAGTGATAAAATAAGCTTTCCCCCCTACCCCAACCTCCTCTTTTTTCCTTAGGGACTGTGGTTGTCTAGAAGCCTTTGGACAAGGTGAAAGTCTCCTGCAGGATCCTGGCTGTGTAGAGGAGTTGGAAGATCGGTTGCACTTTTATGTTGAAGAGTGTGATTACCTGCAGGTTTGACAGCTTGGGCTGAGCTCCTCTTTCTTTCAAGAAACTTTCTGTTCAAGATTCAGTGGAATCTCAGACACTGCTGTTTTATGCAGGGGTTTCAAGTCCTCTGTGACCTGCACAATGGGTTCTCAGGAGTTGGTGCCAAGGTGACGGAGCTGCTCTGTGATGAGTATTCAGGAAAAGGAATCCTGACCTGGGGCTTGACTCCAGTCTCCAGTAATGTGGAAGTAAATAATGAGGAAAACCAGGAAGAGATGACAAATTTGTGCCCGATCTGGGTGAGACCGTTTCTTGCTTGCATCTTTAAGATTTTAATGGTTGGATGTTTTTCCCCCAGGATTCTCAGAAGAATGTTTACAGAGTGATGAACACAGCCCTGGGGATTGTCCGTCTCTCCAGTCACAGCTCACTCTTCTGTCCCCTGTCGCTCCGTGGGAGTCTGGGTGTGAAGTTGCAGCCCCCCGTGACGTTTCCCTACATAGACTATGACGTATGTGCCATTTACTTGGAAACACCTGCCCCGAGGGCCTCTCATCTTTCTCCCATTTACCACTCTCTAAAAGCGTTTTCTGCACCTGTGTTTTCACCAAGGGTTTTTCAGGATGGTGTTCTGCTAAGCAGACAAAAATTTGTTTCCTGCTTTTTCAGTGTTAGCGGGGGCTTCACCATCAGCTTTTCATTCCCATTGTTTGCTTGTACTTTAAAAAAATGTTATCACATGTCCTTTTTCACAGTCTTCCTGTGGGTGTACTGGCTTCAGTTCCAGCAGTAAAAAAAACACTTTATGGCATTATCCTTCCCAATGTGGGGGCTGTGACTCTAGCCTGGCTCGAGCACGAAGAAGCCGCTGACCGTTTGTGGCAGTTTGTTCACAAACAGCTGCCCTGCTTGGCCCAAACCTGATCGAAGTGTGAAACAACCTGGATGGGCAGATTGTGAATTGTGCAACAAAAAGGTGTTTAAGGAACAGCTGAATTTCACACCCCCCCCCCGGCTTTGTCTCCCTCCGTAGCCATCACTCAACTACCACAGCAGCGCTGTTTTGGCGGCAGCGCTTGACACCGTCACGGCTCCGTACCGGCTCTGCGCGTCCCAGGGCTCCATGATGCACTTGGCTGAAACGCTCACCTTCTCTGGGAGGAAGGTGAGGGCAGAGGGAGCAGCAGCCTCCAGCCCTCTCGGCTCTGCCTCTGCCGTGGCCAGAGCCGCTGTTCCCCGTAGCACCCCGGTGGGCACAGACAAAGGGACACGGGGAGTGTGTTCTTTGATGGTGAGTCGTCCCCCCTCCCACCCTGCAGGTTGTGGCTGCCTGGGCTTCGCTTCCTTTCCCCGCCCGGCGCGGCTGCTTGCTGCCCGAGGCTCTGTGCGCCCACCCGCACGTCCCGTGGACACTCCTGTCGCCCTGCGGGGAGCGGGGGACGGGCGGCTGCTTCGCTCAGTCTGTTGTACTGCGAGGAATCGGCAAAGAAAGTCCCATCAGGTACCGTTTGAACTCTGGTGCTCTTGGCAGCAGTGACCTTCCCAAAGGAATTCTCAATCCTATGGGGAGCGTTGGCTGAATGGAGAGAGAAAAAAACAAACCAAGTCTGGTGAGCCAGTCCATTACACACTACTAACATTGGCAAAAGAACTAAAAAGCAGTCGCTGACATTTTCAGTCAAGGCCCCTGGAAAAATTGGTTTTCTTTGCAGCAGCTCTCCAGGAAAACCGCCTAGTTCAGCCCTCCATGCCTGCCCAAGCAGTGAGGAGGCTCTGCAGATGTACTTGAACGCACTCTTTCCTGGGATATTCAGGTTGGTAGCAGTCTTTTTTTTTGGTTTGGTCGGTTTTTTTAGAACAGGGAATGTTAAAACTGAAGGTAGAGCAAGTTTTGGGTAACTTCTTTTCACTGTCTTCCTTACAGCACATCCCATGTACTTGGGCAGCCATGTCCTACCCAACCTCCGTACCCCCAGTTTTTTTCTCCTCTTCTGACTACACAAGGCTTTCTCCTGGATGAACCTCCCCATTATTCCTCAGCAGGTAACAAGAGCCCCTTAAACTTACTTTGCAACAGAGAGTGCTCATGTGGTAATCCCAAGGCCACGCAGTTGTGGGGGGGAGGACAGACCGAGAGCAGCACCAAGGAGGACTTGGGGATGGTGGTGGCAGCAGCACTGTGTGCTGGCAGCCCAAGCCACCCGCACCCTGGGCTGCCTCCCCAGCAGTGTGGCCAGCAGGGCGAGGGGGGGATTCTTCCCCTCTGCTCTGCTCTGGGGAGACACACACCCCTCTCCCCACCCCTCTCCCAGTGCTGCCTCCAGCTCTGGGGCCTCAGCACAGGAGAGACATTGAGCTGTTGGAGCGGGGCCAGAGGAGGCCCCGGAGATGCTGGGAAGGCTGGAGCCCCTCTGCTGGGAGGGGGGGCTGAGAGAGTTGGGGGGGTTCAGCCTGGAGAAGAGAAGGCTCCGGGGAGACCTTGGAGCCCCTTCCAGTCCCTCAAGGGGCTCCAGGAAAGCTGGGGGGTGTGTGTGTGTCTTGATCAGGGAGGGGAGCGATGGGACAAGGGGGAAGGGTTTGAAGCTGAAAGAGGGGAGATGGAGCTGAGATGTGGGGCAGAAGTTCTTTGGTGTGAGGGTGGTGAGAGCCTGGCCCAGGTTGCCCAGAGAAGCTGTGGCTGCCCCATCCCTGGAGGGGTTCAAGGGCAGGTTGGAGGGGGCTTGGAGCAACCTGGGCTGGTGGGAGGTGTCCCTGCCCAGGGCAGAGGGGGACCAGTTGAGTTTTTAAGGTGCATTCCCACCCCAACCAGTGTGTGATTCTACATGGCAGCAGTAGGGTCTAACAGGTGAGAGAGAAGAATTAAAAAAAAAAAAAACACCACAAAAAAACGCTCCAAAACCAAACCACGTTGGAGTGTTTTTAAGGGCAAAAATCATGAGTGTTAAGCAACTCTTATGTTACATTCAAGTAAAGCAACTGCTCATAAAGGAGAACAGGGAACAACTTTGATTTGGTGCATTTAAACAACGCCGTTTTCCCTTGCAGCTGTGGAGAGCATCCCCGTGCTGGCAGCCCTGCAGGCAGCCCCGGTCCTGCGTGCGCTGCTCTATGGCTTGTACAAGGATCTGCAGAAGCTGAACACACGGCGCTGGGGCAGCTTCTTCTCTGCTGGAGTTGAGGAGGATGAGTTCCACGAGGCCCTGGAGGAGCTGAGAACTCTGTCCCAGTGCTATGAAACAGGGGCTGAAGTAGATGAATCTGAAGATGACGCAGAGTCAGACTAACTCATCTTTATTAGAGAGAGCGGAAGTAAGAATAGCTTTATTCTGAGAGGGATCTTAAAGCCGCTCCCTTTAACAGTGGCCCAACCTGCCTTCTCACTGCAGCAAAATCCTGTGAAAAAAGCTGGCTGAAATTGTCCAGCTACCCTACAACTGCAAGTAAAGGAGGAAAGCTGATTTTTTGAGGGGGTGTTTGCCCGTATTTGGGTTTTTTTCCAGGACTCTGCAAAATGGAGTTGCTGCACTTGTTAGAGTAAGACCACACAATAAGTACATAATTCAGGTTGTAACTTTCCCACATACAATCAACACAAGGGGAAAACTTACAAAAAAAAAGTGTTTGTTCCACATGAAAAGAGAGATCTTATAGTACAACATGTACATGTTTTTTTCCAAGGCTGGTGGCCCCATCTTCACCCCGGAGTGAGGTCAGTGTCCACAAGCATCACTTCTGGCAGTTGACTGTTGAAACCCCCTGTGTAGGGTCCAGAGCACGTTACCACCCTGACACCTTTATTCCTTCCTTCAGTTTGATACAGACTGAGAAGTGCAGCAGTTCAGAAGTGCAGCAGGAAAGTGAACCAAAAGAAAAAAAAAGGTGCCATCTGAAGTACCTGTGCAAACATCTACCCACAGCACCCATCTAGCAGCAAACCGGCAAACATGTCTCCCTCTGATGCAGTCAGGAGCTTATGGAGCCAGAAAAACCCTCAGTCATCAGGTTCCTCCTCAGAAAGCAGAAGATCTTTATCTGACAACTGGTCTGTGTTACTGGTGCTAGTGGCATCCTCCTCATCTTCAGAGCTCCCGTCACAGGAGGTATGGAACAACCGCATCAGTTCTCTGAACCTGTGGGATACCTGAAGAACAAAGGAAATCCAAAGATGAGCAGTGACCTGAAGGTGATAGGAAACTTCCATTTCATATTATGAATTCAGGATGTTTTGTGCAGTTATATTCTACTGACTCGCAGGTGAAAAAATGGGCAGTTTGAGAAGATTCCTGGGCAGTGACGTGGGGAAGGTTAAGAAACCCCGACAGATTCCCAATGTACTGAAGCAGAAGGCCGAAGACCCTAGTGGCAGCCACAGAAACAATTCTGGTACCAAATACAAGGTTAAAATGTCAACAGTGACATTGTAAAAAGGACTTGTGGCAGTCAGAATTTTTGTCTGACAGAACAGATGAGGGTTTGGTTGTTGGCTTTTTTTTTTTAATTTTGGATTAGGATTGTTTTTCTCTGATGCAAATTAAATTTAAGTTTGGGAGACCAGTATGATGGCAAACCTCCACCTATCCCTCCTCCCCACATCCCTTCCCCCTTGAAGCTTTCCCCCCCCCCTCCTCCCCTTACCTCACTAGCAGTCTTGTTGCCCAGTTTCTGAGAGATGGCCTGGAAGGTTTCCAGCTGGGCTCCCTTCTCCTGGCAGGTGGTCAGGATGACCCTATCGGCCTCCCTGTGAAACAGCACAAGAGTTAAAAAGCCACCGAAAACAAGTGCTGGGACACATGGACCACCACAAACCTGAGAGGCCTGGTCCCAGGTGAGGATAACAATCACAACAGTTCTGTTACCAGCACCACCCAGCACAAGACATGGCACTAAGCAGAGATGCATTTAGCCCGTTTTTAAGCTTTTTGAAGGAGAAAATAAATTCTTTCCCAGCCTGAAGTACTACAATAATTACACTGCCACAAGCAGATAGCATTTCTCATAGGACCAAGAGGGCAGCGATGCCAGACTGTGGGTAGATGAAACAAGGCGGGAATATTCAAAGGGAGGGGCCAGAATACACTAGAAAATGGGAATACAAAATGAAAATAAATGATATTCTATAATATGAAAGCGTAAGCCAACTACTGAAGGCACAAAGGATGTAAGATGCAGTTCAGGCAGATGTACCTGGTCCAGAGGACAACCTTCTCCCCAGTCGAGCTGACTTTGCTGTTCTTTGCACACACAGTTGCTTCTGTGACTCGCTGCTGTTGTTGCTCCTGCTCCTCTTCCTTCTGCCCCATGGAGGCAGCAACCGCTCTATATTCCAGCTGATGCACCTGGAAGCAGCTGGTTGCATTTGCCTTTGATCTGTTCTCGGGGAAGTTTCCAGTGCAGCCTGGATCATCTGTTTCCAAACTGCACTCACCAGGGGTCCAGGAGCTGCAGCTCTTTCCCAGTGGTGGTTTTCTACCTGCCGTTACCCAGCCCTGCTTTGCTTCAGGTTTTCCTTCCTGAGGCAAAGGTGGTCCCTCCATTTCTTTCACACCCGATTTTGAAGCCTGACCGAAGACACAAAGCTTATCTGATGAATCAGAGTAAAGCCCTTTAGTCTGACACAAACTCCTGCCAGAAGAGGAACCAGGTCCCAGTAGATCTTGTGCTGCAGCAGGAGGAGAGGACGACAGCAGATTTCTGCTCAGCCCGAAGGAAGCCTCTGCATTTCCTTGGTGGGGCTGCTTTAGTCCCTCACCCTCTCTTCCCTCAGTGCAGGGAAAGTCTTTGGTTTCTTGAGGTAGTTTTAGAGTCGGTTTTTGTAGATGCGTGCATTGGGGGCCAGTGATGGAAGAGTCACTGCCCTCTGCAGTGTTCCCAGCAGCTCCAAGACCTCCTTCTTGAACCTCATCAGGCAGCGCAGCTTTTTCAGAAGACGCATGTCTGCTGGAGACAATCTTTCCTTCCAGGGGAGGTCCTGATAATAAACCCAAATAAGTTCAGACTAGCTGTTAGTAAGAAAAAACTTCTGGAGGCTTCATTCACTTACTTTTTAAGAGGGTGGTTTTTAAAAAAATTATTTTGCTGGAGATGTGTGTAAATGATAACACAGTCTGAGAGCAGTTCTGTAATTCTATCTGCAGTTTACCCACCCTGTAACTCGAAGGTGACATTCTGCAATCAATGTTCTTCACCACTGTGGGTTACTAAACCAGCTGCTGTGCAAAGAAGTGATGAATGCATGAAAAAGCTTTAGTGTGCAGCCCAGAACAACATTCTCAAGTGAAGCACATGTTACTGCTGTTGGCACCCTATTTACACAACCACTCTCAACCAGGCACCAGGCTGCATTTCACCAAAACCACTGTGTTTAACCTGGGTGCTGTCTCAAACAGCAGCGTTAAGGGAGATCTGGCTGCTGAAAGGAGAGAGAAGTCTCTTTCAGGTTATTTACCCTGCAATAATCACATTCCCCTTGCCTGTACCAGACTGAAGGAAAAAACCAAGTAACATGAAGGGGATCATTTAAAAGATAAGACAGATGTAGACTTTGAACTGCTGTGTTAAAATGGAAAAAAACAGTATTATGGTAGCTCTGGGAATGGGTTCAGTACGTCAGCAAAAGAAGCTTAAACGTAGCATTCATTCTGAAAAGGGGAGAATATTTCTCTAGTCAGGAAAGCTTATTTTGAAGGGAATGCTCTAGATATATGCATGTTTAGAGCATCCAGATTGGATGAAGACAAGGAAAAAAATGAAAGAAAGATTATTAGAAGTTCTCAATAACTCAATAAATTTGCATTACAAGGCCCTATACCTCTTCTTATTTGTGTGAGCCCATTTGGAGATGAATGTACCTGTCCGTACACAAGACTTTCACACACCTGAAGCCAGAGTCTCCACTTTCCTCGATAGAGTTTTGGTTCTGCTGTGGACATCCTCTCCCTCATCTCTGTTCTCCAGATTTTCTTCTGCAGGTTCCTTTGACATTCCAGAATCCTTCCCTTCAGGCTGAGGACTTGACTCTTGTTGAGCAAGGCTTGCAGTCAGCTCCTGAGAATCTTTAGCTTTATAAAATTTGTTTTCAGATACCTGCAAATCAATACAATTAGAGATGTGGTCTATCAGTTCAAACCTCACACTCCGGCCTCTGCTTCCAAAGCATTCCTTGCCCCTACCAAAGGCTTCAGTTTAGCACTATGTTTGCACTTAGAAAACTGAATCTTTTTTTTTATTATTAGGAGCAGGCATTGTTCTTTTCACATAGTGGCCATACAAGCATCTTCCACTAAAAAAAAAGCTTATTCTTAAGTCAGAAGAACATCAAAACTAACACTATTTAGCACAGCAAGGAGGGGCAGTAGAAAGTGAGCAGGAGACGGAGAAGAGGAAGGCCAGGCAGAGCCCTCAGAGCTCCCAAGAGGGAGATGCTACTGGTCATCTTTCCATTTACTTTCTTCCTCAATACATTTGGAGACATGAGGCCCGAGGCCAGGCAGATCATCACAACAGGGAGACTCTTGGCAGGACTCTACTTTTCCACTCACCACTCTGGTGACTTGGCCTATCAACTAACCTTACTACTACAATGGCTGCAGCTCCTCCTTTTGCTTTTCTTTAGCTTGAGATCGCTACTCCCTTCATGGCAGGAACATGAACATTCCTTCATCCCATCTACCCACTCGACCTCCTGGAAACAGACATACTCCATCTGACAAATGTGCAGGGTACACAAAGATGACAGTCAGGGGAAGGTTAACCCCAGAGGGAGCCAGGAAGGGCCACTCTGCGCACACCTGGAGAGAACTAAAGCGATTATGCTGCCAGCAAGCCAAGCAAAATGGAAACATTTCAATCCCCTTTCTTCAAATCATTATGGGCTGTCGTCATGTCTCTTGGTAAGACACATTTACCCTCGCAGGCATGCATTTGCTCAGAGTCCATATATGTGGACTAGTGAGATACCCCGGGCCCACCTTGTCATTATTCTGGCCTCCAATCTCTTTCCGTTTCTTATTTTTTGTGGCTACATGCATCTTGGGTGGCTCATCCTCCTCTTCTACATCTGGCAAAGACACCTCTTCAAACCCATCAAACTACAAAAAAAGAAACAGAGAAGAACTGCTCTATTGTGACAGCTCTTCAGCAGACCAAACTTCATTTTCCCTATGAATTTCTGAATATTGAGCTGAGCTCCAGGACTCAAGAAGTTCAATTACGTTAGAAGAGAGAGAAATGCTGTAAAAAAAAAAAAAACAAAACTGAAAAATTTGCTTCACTCCACCAACACCCATCCCACCCTGCTGCTTCCGTCTCTCTGGAAACACAGCCTCAATTTGAGTTCAAGCATGTCTAGTATCTCTGCTTTTATCTTTTCTGGCCTTGGGGAAAAGAGTGTTCCACCTCATATTCCTTCTCTTCTGTCCAGTTGATCTCCTCAAAGTCTCCCATGCGGCTGGCTGAGGGCCTTAAGTGATCAAAGAAAATGGAGAATTCATCCTGCAAGTGGTCGTGTCCTTTCAACAGTTGCCACATTTGGGTCTTCAGCTGAAAGAGAGAAATCCAAAGAAAAAAAATCAATGTTTCATTACACATCGTCACATTCTTCTCAGAAGGATTTCTTAAAGCAAGTAGAACATCAAGGCTCATTAGACCTCCACCATGGAAGTTTATGCTCGCATTGGTGCTGCTTCATCAATATTTTGAGATCATTCCACATCCAGCTATTCAATTAACAACAGAATATCCCTCCAGAATTGTGGGCAGACTCTGCAGGAGACACTAAGCTAAAATTTCATCTGCAAAGTGATAAAACCAAGGTGGAGGTAGGAGAGAGGAGACACACAGCGCCAGTTCTCTACCACGTCCCACAGAGGGAGATCACACTTGATAAACTCCCATGGTCTCAAAGAGCAGCAGAGGGGAGGAGGGAAGCAGGGCAGCAATGCCATTCTTGGGGTTTTGAGAGACAGGAGACACCAGGATGCCCGATTACCTCTGTGATCTCCTGGGGGAGGCAGTCTGCACAGCTCTGCAGGACTTTGATGATCTTTTGATGGTGGGCAGGATTTTCAGCAAAACAAATCTCCAGCTGCCTGAGAAACTTCCGGCTTTTTTCAAATGCTTGCTGCTCTTCAAACTGACCAAAAGAAAAAGATTCACCCCTCACGCTCAAGAATATATTTCCAAGCATCTCTAGTTGGCTTAAGCAAGTTACAAACTGCCTGTCTTGCTATTTGTTTCCCACTTGTTTTGCCACCCATTGCAGAACTGGGAAGAGGTGGAGGAACAGAAACAAGACTTTGTATAATCAACACTCATGTGAGCTATAAAGTTTTGCTTCAACCATAAGACAGGAAAACCCAGAAAGAACGCAAGAGGTGAAAACCTCTATCTTACAACGTGAAAGACTGATTTGTGAGACAAGGGAACCACTCCACTTGCTGCACGTTGTCTCTGCAGTCAGGTTCTGCAATATAAGACTGATTCTCCACGGTAACACTGAGTATGAGACTTAAAACAAACACTAGACTTTTAAATTCTGATTAATAAAACAGCAAGGTAAGCAAATTATTTACCTGCTGTTTACTTTTCTTGCCTTAGGAAGAGTCCCTTATTCTTTCACTCCCACAAGCGTCCAACATTGCCTGCTTAAAAATTTGGTCTCCTCCTTTCTTATACCTACCAGTCCACACTCCAAAGCTTGTTCTGGTAGAAGAAAGGCAGCAAAGTCTGTGAGCAGCTGTGGCCAGTCATGCAACAGTTTTTGTAAAGTGGAATAGAGATCCACAGCCGTTCGCTTGTCTGTGCTAATCTCAAACTCATAGATAACACGCAGAAAGTCTTCATACTTTCCAGGAACATGCTGCAAGGCTTCACGCACCTGGAAAAAGCAACAGACCTTTACAGAACTACATAACGTCCAAGAAGGAGACAAGTTAATTTAGTAATCTTTGATCTCTAAATCTCAGAATTTACACAGTGCTTCCAGTTTCCTTGAGCCAACCAAGTCTCTTCCTTAAAGATAAATCTGAACTGCTCACAAGAGAGAAGGGAACCAAACCCAAGCCTATGAGATCCTGACGTTAAAAGGAGCCCTGTGTTGTGGGTTGCCTGCAGCCAGCAGCTAAGCACCCCCAGCAGCCACCCACTCTCTCCCCGCCTTCCCCAAGCAGGACAGGGGAGGGAAGAGCAAAAGCTAGAAAACTCATAGGTCAAGATAAAGGCAGTTTAATAAGTACAGGAGACCACCATATGGGGTGCTATGAAGAAAGATAACTCCATCCCAACCAGATCCAGTACATCCAGTTAGAACTGGCAGTTACAGGGCTCAGGCATGAACCGTGTTAGAGGACTCTAAGTGTCCAGTATTCCTCGTTCTGGGTTACACCTAGCCTGGCTCACCCTGGTTAGATAGGCTTGGGCAAATGCCAGATCCTTCTGTTCCCGCAGGGGATCTCTCTCCAGGATGTCTTCATCATACAAGAGCAGTAGCTTAGATGTATCTTTGCTAGCACGAGCCCGTCCCCTCTTATTTCTGGTTCTGTGGGAGCTCCTGCTCTTCCCAGAGGCTTTCATATTTTCTCCTGTGAAGAAGCACAAAGCAACCTGTCCAGGTACTCTTCACATGTTCCCTCGGCTGGCAGACAACTACTCTTTAGATCAATATTGCAATAGGAAAAGTAGGTTTTCAGAGTTAGCGATAAGTTAACTGTTTGCACTCTCCTGGAAGTGTATGAGCAGTATGTTTTTCATTAGTTAGCTGGCCTGACATATTTCAAATTGTCCGTTTCTTTTTATAGCGTCTGATGGGGGAAAAAATCTTGATACAGGAACAAACCCCTTCTGGCTGTTCCTCAGCTAGAACCTGCCCAGAACCAATAGATCCATCTCCTGCATACCAAGGACAAAAAGAGCATAGTGGGCGGACAGAGATACGATACGAGCATTGGAGCTGGCTGTAATGCTTGCAAATTAGTCTTTCACTGAATTTCACTGAATTTCACTGAATTTCTAGAGTTGGAAGGGACCATAGAGATCATCTAGTCCAACTCCCCTGCTGAAGCAGGATTGCCCAGAGCTAGAGCATGTTACTCAGGACTGCATCCAGGCGGGTTTTGAAAATCTCCAAGGAAGGGGACTCCACAACCTCCCTGGGCAGCCTGTTCCAGGGCTCTGTCACCCTCACCGTGAAGAAGTTTCTCCTCATATTTGAGTGGAACCTCTTATGTTCCAACTTGTGCCCGTTGCCCCTCGTCCTCTCACTGGGAACCACTGAAAAGAGTCTGGCTCCCTCCTCCTTCAACCCTCCCTTGAGATACTTGTAGGCGTTGATAAGGTCTCCCCTCAGCCTTCTCTTCTCCAGACTAAAGAGTCCCAGCTCTCTCAGTCTCTCCTCATAAGGGAGATGCTCCAATCCTTGAATCATCTTTGTAGCCCTACGCTGGACTCTTTCCAGTAGTTCCCTGTCCCTCTTGAACTGGGGAGCCCAGAACTGGACACAGTACTCCAGTTGTGGCCTCACCAGTGCAGAGTAGAGGGGGAGAATGACTTCCCTTGACCTGCTGGCTACACTCTTCCCTATACAACCCAAGATACCATTGGCCTTCCTGGCCGCAAGAGCACACTGTTTACTCATTGTCATTTTACTGTCCACCAGGACCCCTAGATCTTTCTCTTCAGTAGTTGCCTCTAGCGGGTCCACCCCTAACCTATACTGGTACCTGACATTTTTCTTCCCCAGGTGCAGGACCCT